TAGCCCCTGCTTCCCACTTTCTGTTATCAAGTGGGGGAAAACAAATCTGCATTTTGTTCTGCTTTTGAACAAACCCTGAGAATTGTAATTTATTGTTTTCGTATAGACAGATGGACAGGGACGATGATGAAAGTTTTGCTTGGGTCAAGATGGCACAGCTGGGGCCTTAGCACGCTATTGCACTATACCAAAAAAAGAAAAGGGAATGTTAATAGGAACCTCTCACCCTTTTAATTTGGAGGGGTTTTTAATTCTGTAGCTCCTGAGCAGTAAACCATTTTGAGCCTCTGTTGGCCATTTAAATAATTGCTGAGGAATGAACTGGCATGTTCCGCCTGCCATAAAGGCTGTGTGGCTGTCGATGTCTTAACTGTTGGAGCACAGTGGTTTTCATTAGTTATGTTGATGCTTGAGAATGCAGCATGGTTAACAAATTTGGGAAGCTTTGCGGAACAGCTGTATTTATTTACAGAATCCCACCATACCTCATTACTCAGTTAACTTCTTCCATCCTTCTGCCCATTCACTCCCTCTGGAGAGCGAGGCTTACCACTTGAACTCTCCGTAGATGATGTATATTGATAGATGTCGAATGTGAGGATGTAAATCTTTCCAGCCATAACAGGTTTTTCACTGCTGTCAATTTTAACAAGTAAAAAGCCTTTGTGTTTTTAAAGAAAGCTCTTAAATCAATTATCTTGCATTAGCAGATTATTGCTCTGCCTTAGAGACCGCCACATAGATGAAATTGAGTTCTTTTATTGCCAGCCAGCACAGGGTGGGTTCCAACTCTCCTTTTAAAAGAGGCAGGCGCTTTTAGAAATGCCACAAATCTTTCAGCTGTCTTGGCTAATCCAGTTTGTGTGGGTTCATGTTCCCTCTCTTTTGATTCTCCTGGTCTTCATTGTTTACAAGGCTTGAGCATGTCGGGCTCTGGATCACTGTTACTGTTTTCCATTTCTGGGCACAGTGTGCTTTCCAGAAAAGAGAATTGTTTGCACAGGTGACTTTTCACAGTAAAATGGTTTTCCCAAAGTATGTTCTTACACCAAGTTTTGATTTAGACAGTGAAGTCCTTGGCTCTGCAGACCGATTTCTTCGGCAGACCCTCATGTACAGAATCCCATCTGGTCGCTGAAGTTCTGTATGGATGTGGAGTCCACACAAATAGTCTACACTTTTTTAGACTATTGACCTGCTTCTTGCCAATCATTAATTTTTCCCTTTCCAGATGATTGCTTGTCCTGTAGTTTATAGTCTGAAGCTTCCCCTTATTAAAGATAGATATAAAATCTTCTTAAGTGCCTAAGCCCTGTTGTTATCCAGTGGGGTTTAAGAACAAATTTTTGTTTAGGAAATGAATAAAGTAGTGTTAAATTCTATCTGTGTTGCGTGTAGAAGTGTCCAGAAATGACAAGTTTATAGTTCTTGGAAGAACCGGCCGTCTCCTGCAGACTCGCCATTTGTGTTTGAAAGACTTTCATGGTCTCCAAAGGTTGTGGCTGAAAGCACTGGAAAATGGATTTCTTGTGATCACAGCAGTCAGACATCTGCGAATGCCTTATCTTGTTTTGTGAGGTGTGACTGAAAGTGTGTGACACTGGTGTGTAGAAATTCTGTGTCAAAAATAGGTGCAGTAGAATCCCGTTAAAGGCATTGTGAAATAAGTAGCTTTTACACCAAACCTTAAACAAAAAAGTATTTTACACCAGAATGTAGCTGTTTGTTTGGATGCTTGGTCAAGATAATACAAGGCTGCAAGCAGGTTCAATGTTGAACGTTCTCTGTGTAAATATATAAATATTCTCAGCCTAATTTTATCAGACTAACACATGTTGCATGGTTTGGGGTTTTTTTTTTGCCTCATTGGTCATCAGTGTTGATTAAAAGGTGATGGGTTGAAAATCATGCTGGCACTGTACTGAGCCCTTTGAACAAAGAGCAAGGAGAACCTTTGTGCACCAAAAATGGAGTTGATGTTGCGTATGGCGGCAGCAGTGAAGCAAGTGTTGGACCCTGCAGCCAATAAACAGACCTCTTAAACGACCATGAATTCTGTTAATAGTGTTTTCTCTCTGCTGTGCCTAGTGGTGTTTGAATGGGTTCCTTACTGGTGGCAAGCATGAATGCCGGAATAACACTCTGTGGCACTCGTGGGAAGTCTTGCCAGATAGACGCTCGTGAGGCAAAGCAGCCTCTTTACGCTTCATTCTTATTCCACTTTGAGCGAAGGCCAGCTTCTGACCCTGCTTGCTGAATCTTTCAGTGATCAGCTGCTGACGACTTGACATTGTATAAGGGGGAAGAAGGTAAAAGTCAACACGCTCCTGAATTTGTTTCAAAAAGCTTTTTGTTTTTTCCTTTAGATGCTAGCGTTAAAAAACCAAAACAAAACAAAACAAGAAAACCCAC